TCTTTCTTTCTTTCTTTCTTTCTTTCTTTCTTTCTTTCTTTCTTTCTACAAGGTCTCACGTAGCCAAGACTATCCTGAAACTCACTATGTGGGGTTAACTCTGAAGTTCTGATCTTCCTGCCTCCTGAGCACTGGGGTTGTACACATGCACTCGTTTAATGACTGTTGGGGACCGAGGCTAGAGCTTTGTGTGTTCAATGAAAGCCCTCTACCTACCAAGCCACACCTCTAACCCCTTGGATCAACTTTGACAATACTTAATTGTATTGCTTAATATAATAATTAGTACAAATAAGATAACAGATTGGTAAATGATCACAGCTCTTGGTCAACACATGTTCCTACTGAATTTCAGCCTGTCTTAGCCAGAGGCACCCTTCACTAGCTGAAGTGTTGAAAATCATTAGTTGTTCTGAGAACTGTTAAGTGGAGATTGTTATGAGAAAGCCTTTTTGCTCTTATGCCAGGCAGCTTTATTGAATATCTCAGCCTGACGGAGAAAATGTAATTTACAGGGATTGATGCTAAGTCAGACAACTTCATGAAAATGATTCTTCATGTTGTGTAGAAAATGTTATGTATCCCCAAGGCTTTCCTAGTCCTCAATAAACTCCTTGCTGGTCCAAACTTAATCAGTGTGTGCTTCGTTTCATGCATTAAAGTAAATTACCTAAGAGAATAGCACAAGTGGTCATGGATTTTCATATCATCTGAAAGGATCTTATACTTTTACATGTAAGAAAGTTTATGATGGACATACAAAAGACACATAAGTGTTAGGTATCAATCCTCAAACCTACAAAAATGTCAGTGCCCCTGGCATTGTCCTGAAAGACAGAAAGACAGTCTGTGAAGAGGTTGAACTCTGACAGGGTAAGCAGCAGACTTTCTGGAGGGTAGATAAAAACTAACACTGGGTCTTCCTCAGAAGTCTGGGCAAAGTGTTTCTGTCTGCCAGGAAGGGCCACTGCTTCCTTATTTCCCCCTACCTCCAGCAAATGAGGCATCGAGCTCCTTATTGGCAAATGCGAGCAGCACATATCAAAGCCCCTGGTCTCTTCTGGCCTGAAAACCTGCCTCCCTGTGCCCCCCAAACTCCCAGGCTGTTCTAGTTTACAGGTTTTCTCCTTTCCTTGCCTGTTTGTTTTATAACTAGCAAGGTTCTCACTGTCTTCTTGCTGTTTTCCCTGCCTCCCGAGGGGTAGCAAAGGCAGTTTTGGACTCCCTGAAACACCTTCAGTTAATCTATCTGCCCCAAATGGCAGCTTTGAACCTTCCCAAATAAACTTTCTTTTCACCCATGGAAAGGCTTAATTCGTGGTTTCACTGCACCCTCCCGTGCAGGGAGACCCCTCCCCCACTACCACAAGATGATATATGTGAGTCACTCACTTTGGGATTAATTATACCAGAAGTAAATTTGAACTAGGAGAACTCGGCATTGACATGATTAAATACTGGTCTGACCAAATTGTCAAACTTCAATCAGTATGATATTCTTATGCTCTGGTAGCAGTGGTAGCAATTTTTGAAACTTGCCTGTTAAATTAGAGGGAAGGAATTTTACAATTAATTGTTGGTCCATTTCAAAATACCTGGGATTTTCCAAGAAAACACCAATGACAACAGTTACTTGGCACGCCTCCCTTAAGATCTCATGCAATTTTACGATGGAAGAAGTTTGTTTCTCAATTGATTATGCAGGGAAGCATCTTCCGTTTGAGAATTATAGACAACAGTGAATGCTCCTTTGTACAGAAAGATGTAAACGGGGAGATCTATGGGGATCCACAAAGGAAAAGAAGGACCAATTCAAAGTAGGAAGCATGGGTGGGCTTCCTCCTCTCAGGCCCTTTCAATTAACAAGAAAGGGGGAGAGGGTGGAACAATTTGCCTAGGAGTAGAGAAAGAAAGCAATCAGGGCCAGCATCTTTTTTTTTTAATACTTTAAATCAATTTTCATTTTATTTTTTTATTTTTGTTTTTATTTTCTTTTTTTAAAATTAATACAATTTATTCACTTTGTATCCCACCTGTAGCTCTCTCCCTCTTCCCCTCTCTAACCCATCCTCCTTCCCTCTGCTCTACCCATACTTCTACCCCAATCCAGGTCTTCCTCCCCTTTCTTCTGATCCCAGTCTATTAGTTCTCATCACGATGGCTGTGTTGTCTTCCTCTGGATGCATTCAATGACAACCTAAGGAAGAAGACAGTATCTTGTCTCGACAGCCCACTGCCCATCAGAGCAGGGAAGGCATGCTTGCTGTGGTGATAGGTGCTAAGTGATACTGGCACTGTGGTGGCAGAAGCAAAGTAGAGAGACCAATGGAGGGCAGAAGAGCTGCACTATACCCCAAGGCTGAGTCCCTAGTGACATGGTCATTTCTCCCTGTCCCACTTCTTAAAAGTTCGAAACAGCTCACCAGCTAGGGACCAAGATGAAACACAGTAGCCTACGGTGAATATTTTCACGTTCAAAGCATCATAGTTTCTAAAACACACAAGCATAGCTAACAGTGTGGAAACTAAGTTACAGAAAATCTGATGAATGGGCCCAAACCTAGGGAGCTCTTGAATGATGGAGCCGTCTTGAGAAGGATTTTATTGCTACACATGGCCTGCTCACTTCCTCGAAATGATTTTCTTCTGTGATTTTTTTTTCCTGGTGAGAAATATGAAACGAACAAACAAATATTACCAGTTGGCACTTTGATTTGGGTAAAACTACTTAAAGTCTAGATAAATTAAATTCTATATGCTATTGCTATCAGTTTCATTCACTATGAACTAGGTAAAGGCTTTTCAGAGGTGTCTGTGTGTAACTGGGTGGTTTATTGTTTTGGGTCTTTGATGGCATGGCATGAAGAGAAATGACAATGTAGCAAAACTGCTTTCCATGTGGCTGGGAAGAAGAAGAAAGAGGAATTAGAGCCCACTGTCACCTTATGGAAGGACCTAAGGTCTCCTTGTAGACTTCACTTCTTAAAATTCTACTGCCTTGCAGTAGTGCCAAGATGGAGACCAAACTTTAACACCTGGACATTAGAAGAACCTTCTAGATGGAAAAATTAACAGTTTTGATGGTTGGTAATAAGAGTATCACACAAAATGATATTTGGCTTCAGATAGGTGCTGAGTTCTTAACTGTTCTTCCTCGAGGGTCTCATTCTAAGCACCTATAAGTCTTCCTGTCTGTTTATTTGACCAGTTCTTCTCTTGATGCTAATGATATTGTATTCCATTAAATAAAGAAATTAAGCTAAATTATA